TCAGGGTGAGAGAGTGAATGGGAGAAAGATAAAAAAAGAAAGAATGAAGTGGGGAGAAGAAGAGAAGGAGAGAGAGAACGAGATATGTGAGAGAATGAAGGATAAGGGATAGAGGAGAGAATAGAAGAGATTAATAGAGGGAGGGAGAGGGAGGCATAGTAAGAGCAAGAGAGAAGTGCAAAAGTAGAGAGAGCGTGAAAAAAAAAAGAGATAGGGAAGAGAGAGAGGATATTTCTCTCCCTCTCTAATGCTTCCTTTCTTGCAATCCCTACTCCCTCTGTCTTCCCCTTTTTTTCCTCCCTCCCTCTTACTTCATCTCCCTTCCCCTCCCTCCCTCCTCCTTCCCTCCCATACCCCTCTCTCACTCTATTTTTCTTTCTCTCTCTCACTCTCTCTCTTGCTCCATTTCTAACTCTCTTCTCCTACACATCTTCTCTTGCAAATCCTCTCTTGCTCGTTCTTTCATTTTAGCTATTCTCTCTCTCTCTCTATCTTTCTCTTTCCTCTCACTTTTATTCACATTGTCTGTCCCTCTCTTCCCTCTCACTTTCTTTCCCACAATATCTCTCTACCTTTCTCTCCCTCTTTCTTCTGTTTTATCTCTCACTGTCACTCTTACTTTTTTGCTCTCTATCCCTCTCACCCTCTCCCTCAAACTTTCTCCCACATACTCTCTCTTCCTTCCCCCTCCCTTCTTTCTCTCTAAATCTCTCACCCCTTCACTCAACTTTTTTTTCTACTGCTCTCTCTCTCCCTCCCTCTCTCTCACTGATTCTCTCCTCTTCTCTTTATTCATAATTCATCCTCCTTAACTCTACTTTCACTCTCTTCTCTCTTCTCTCTTCTCTCTTCTCTCTTAATCATTTTCTCTATGTACATCTTTCTGTCACTCTCTATTTTGCTCCCTCCCTCCTTTCCTCCTCTCTCTTACCCACGCCACCTACTCTCACTCTGCTACCTCTCTCACTTTCTCTCTCTCCCTCACTCTCCCTCTCTAACACATTCTCCCTTTCCATTTTCTTATTCTCAATTCCTCTCTCTCTCTCTCATATCTCTTTTATACTCACTCACTGCTCTCTTTTCTCGTTTACACTATCTTCTCTCTCTCTTTTCTCTCTCATTCTATCTCTACCTACCTTCCGTTTTCTCTGCCTAAATCTCACTCTTTCTCTCACAATCATTTAAGGCCTCCCTTCCTACTTGCTTCCCACATTTACTCTCTTTTTTGTTTTATCAATCCCTCTCTCCCTCTCCCTCCATTTTACTATATCTATCTCTTCATGTCCATCTCTCTTATTTTCTCTCTGCTGTTACTTTCTCTTCACCCTTGGTACATCCCTCACCCCATCACGTGTTTTTATTTTTATCCTCTCTCCTCTCTCTTTATCCTTTGCTCTCTCTTTGCGGACATTCTCCTCTCTCAGTCACTTACTTCTTCTCTTTGCCTCCCACTCACCTTGACCCTCTACGTCTCTTTCTCTCCCCCTCTCTCTCACTCACTCATCAACCTATCTCTTGTACTTTCCTTCTCTCTCTCTCTTCTCATGTCTTTCTCTCATTAGGAGGGAGAAAAGGAGGAGTGACAGAAACGATAGAGAAGAGAGATAGGTTGATCCTCTTTATCAAACTCTCATAATCCTCTCTTTCTCTTGTTATTCTCTCATATTATTTTTTTCTACCACACCAGCTATCACTCTCATTATATCTCTCTTTCACCACTATCACTTTCACTCTTCTCTCTATTTCTTCTCTTTCTCTCTCTCATGCTCTATCTCTCACATTTTTTCTCTCCTATCAATTTCTCTCTCTCTCTCTGCACATATTATCGCTCTTGTGAGAAGCGAATGAGAGACAGGAAGATCTCATCCTCTTATAACCCCATCACTCCTTCCCCTTCTAACACTCTCTCATTCTTTACATCATCTCTCTCTACCTCCCCGTCTCTATCTCACTCTCTTGATCTTTCTCAAGCTCTCTCTCCCTTTCTCTATCACTCCTCTTACTCTTCTTCTTTCTCCATCCATCCCTTCTCAACCTTGCTACTTTCTTTCTCCCTCTCCCACCCTCTCTTCTACTCACTATCTCTATTTCTATCTCCCTTTCTCAGTCCCTCACTCTCCTCTTTCTATCTCTTCTTCGCAGTCTCTCTCTCCCTAGTTGCTCTCCCTCTGTCTCCCTCTTCCCATGGGAATGAGAGAAGAAGAGTTAGAGACAATAAGAGAGATAAAGAGCATGAGAGAGTTACAGTGAAAGAGAGTACAAGAGGAGAGAGAGAGATGAAGAGAGGGAGATAGAGTTAAGGAAATAGAGACATTAAATGAGAGATAAATTGATATGGAGAAGACTAAGAGAGGAAGAGTGAGATGGAAGAACAAATTGTGTGTGAGAGAGAGAGAGCAAAGGAGAGATAAAGAGAAGGTAAAGTAAGAGATTGAGAGAGAGAGAAGGAGAGAAGATAGAGAAATAAGAGAGATTCATTGAGAGAAAGAGAGTAAAGTAAAGAGAGTTAGAGGAAGGAGAGAAGAGAGAGAGCTAGAGGACAAAGGATAGAAAAGGGGGAGCAATAATGATAAAGAGGGAGAGAGAGCTAGAAAGATAATGTGAGAGGGAATGAGAGAGAGTGAGAGAGAGGGAGAGAGAGGGAGAGAGACATTGATGGTATAAGATTGGTAAACAGTAGGAGTGAGACCTAGATGGAGATAAAGGGAGAGATTATGAGAGAGAATGAGAGATAGAAAGATAATGAGTGAGGGTGAGAGGGACCTTAAAAGAAGAGAAAGAGTGAGAGAGAGAAAAAGTCAGGGCGAGAGAGTGAACGGTGTGAAAGAGAGAGGATAAGAGTGAGTGAGAGCGAATACATTTCTCCTGTTAGTCTCTCTTTTTATTCTCTTCCCCCTTCACACCCCCCTCTCTTCTCTCTCTCATGCAGTATCTATCTCATTCAACTTTCTCAGTCTCCATCTTCTCTCTTCCTCTCTCTGTGCCTTGTTCTATCTTTTTTTCTACCTCTCCCCTCTAACCATACCTCCTCTCTTCGTCTCTCTCCCACTTCATCGTTATTACTTTTCCTTTCCCTCTTTAACTCTTTTCCCTTCTATCCTCCTCTCTCAATCTTTAATGACATGAGAGAGGGATAGTAAAAGATGGAGAGAGAGAGGGAAAGGAAGAGAGTTAGGGAGAGAGAGGAGAAAGAGAAAGAGAGCATGTGAGTGGTGATACTCTCTCTCTTTATCTCTCTCCATCACTCCCACTCTTTTATGCTATCAACCTATACTCAATCTTTTTCTCTTTTGCTCTCTATCATCCCCTCGATTTCTTGCTCTATCTCACCCCCTCTCTCTAGCCCTATCTTTCTCCTCCTCTTCTCTCTTTTACTAAATCCCCTATTGCTCTCTCTTTCTCACATTCTCTTTCAATCTTTCTCTCTAACTTTCTTTGTCACCAACCCTTCTCATTCTCTTACCCTATCTCTCCTTCCTCTCTAGAGAGATTGAAAGAATAGTGAGAGAGAGAAAAGGAGAGAGAATAGTAGAGTAAGAGACAGAGAGAGAGAGAAAACAAGAGGCAAAGAGTGATTGAAAAATAAAATAAAGTTAGAGAAGAGAGTGTAAGTGAAGTAATATCGAATGGAGAGATGAGCGATCTCACCTTCTCTAAAGTGGAAGAGAGCAAGAGAGAATTGAGTGAGCAAGAAGAGGATGAGAAAGAGTGAGAGTTAGGGAGAGATTGATGGTATGAGAGAGATTGGTGGTACAAGAGAAAGCTATGGGTTAGAGAGGGAGGGACTGTTAGGGTGATGGTAAGAGATAGAGAGTGAGAGGGAGTGAGAGATAGAGTTAGATAATGATATGGAGAAAAGTGAAAACTCAGATATAGAAAGACTAGAATAGGAGAGAGAGTTATAGTTTTAGCAATAGAGGCAAGAGAGAGCAAAGATAAAAGTGATAATGAAAGTGAGAGTGAGAGAGAATGTTTGTGAGATATAGTGAGAGAGGATGGGGTAGATGGAATAAAAGATAGAAGAGTGAGTGGTAGAGATGTTGAAATAGAGGTTAACAACTTGATAGAGAGAAAAAGAGAAAGAAGTCTCTCACACACTCTCTCTTCTGTCTTCCTCTTTTTCCTTTCCCACCCTATCTTGCTCTCAATCTCCCCAAAAGTCTTTCTCTCTCTCTCCGTTCTCTCTGAGAAAAAAAATGAAGAGAAAAAGAGACGAGGGTGAGAGAGAGTGAGAAAGAGTGATAATGAGAGAATAATAAAAAGAAAGATATCTCAAACTTTCTATATCTCTCTTTCACTCTTTTTATCTCTCTCCCTCACTCTTGGTTTCTCTCTCCCTGCCTCTCTCTCTCTCTCTTTATCTCTCCTCTTGCCTTCTCTTCCTCTCTTCCTCTCTATTTTATCTTTGAATTATCTATTTTATCTCTGAATTATATGACAGATGGAAAAATTGAGAGAGAAAGAGAGGGAGGTAGAAGAGAGTGATTTGAGAGAGGGAGGGGGAGTGGTGAGTGAGAGAGTGAGAGAGAGAGATCATGCCTGAGCAATGAATGAGGGACACACTCTCTCTTTTTCTCTATTTATCATTCTTAGTGAGTGAGGGAGATTGGTTGGAAGAGGCAAGAAAGAAGAAAGATATCAAGTTGTGAGTGCAAGTGATGAGCGGGAGGGGGATAAGAAGGGATAGGAGGGTGAAAATAGATAAAGCAATACAGAGAGGAGAGCTAAGGATAGACAAAGTAAAAAATAGAGAGATGGGAGAAAGAGAGAAAGGGGGAGCGAGTGAGAGAGGAAGAGAAAGAGAGAGGGATAGCTAGAAAAGAAGATAAAGAGAGTTGGAGCAATAAAGGTAGGGAGAAAGGGAGAGAGTGGGAGAGGGGAGAGAAGATGGGAGGAAGACGATAAGAGAGAGAAAAAGTAAGAGAGGATATATATATTAACCAAAAAGTTAAGATTTCAGTGATGTGAAGAACCAATTACAATTCTTAAATGGGGAGCTTCTAAAGCATCTCCAGCCAGCAAAAAAAGGAGAGGGGTGGAGTATAGGAAACAAGACTCTCAACAATATACAGACCATTTCTTGCAAGCCAGTTTGCAGGTTGTTTTCCTTCCCTGTAAATAAAAGCCAACCGAGCCTTGAGAGTAGACAGCATGCACATAATCTTGTTAGCCCATTGAGCATGACACCAAGAATCTTGTCTTCTATCTTGTAACATCTGTAGAAGTACTTCAGAATACCCCTTAATAATTAAGTTGTGCCAGTGGTTCATTTTAGGAAGAGTGATGGCCCAGTAGACTGCAGTTAATTCAGCTTCAAGAGCGTCAACAACACAAACAGAAGCCTGAAAATACAGGATGCACTGTCCAAAATGCTTTCTGAACACACCTCCCACCCCAGCTCCAAAGGGAGCAAAACTGCCATCAGTGTTAATTTTAATGTATGGGTAGGTAGGAGGGGACCAGTACACTGTGCTTACTCTATGTGAGTTGGATCTTTCCACTAGAGGTGGGGAGCAGATGTAAGTGAATCTTTGATAGAGTATAAGTTTATGAAGAAAAGAAATACAATTCCTGGTAATTTGCAGGTGGGTGCTAACCTGCCCATCAAACTTAGCCTTGTTCCTAGCCATCCAGATAAACCCAACCACCAAAAAATGAACAGATCAATTTTAGCAGCCTTCCAGCTCTTCCAACAGCGATAAATGTTGATCCAGTCCAGTTGTATAGTGTTCAGAGTGAGGATATGGGAGAAATCAGTCCAAACCTTTTTAGAGAAGCTACACTTAAAGAATATATGGGGAATGGATTCCTCCATCTCCCCATAGAGTAGCATTTGGATGGGCCTCTCAAGTCTTTGAGTTTGAGAATGTCATCAGTAGGGAGCAGACCATTGAGAATTTTCCAACTATAAAAGGACATGGAAGGAGTTAAGCTTTTATGCCAAATGATTTCCCCCCAATCTTTATTCTCTCAGGTGTTAAGTTTAGAATATATGGCTTTAGTAAGGCTCTGAATTTTGGGTCCTTGCCAAACTAGTCTTTGTTAGCTCTGGATCTATCAATCTGAATTCTAGTAACTTGAATTGCAGAATGGGGTTGAAGGATGCTTGGAAGTAAAGGCAAAGACCATTGGTTCTCCTCCCAACAGTCAGCTACAGTAAGCTGAGTATTAATTTGAATGCTAATTGGTTGCAAGACATCTTTATGACACCAAAAATCAAGCCAAAAATCGAGCTTCCCATTTCCAATATCCCATATAAAGAGGTCTTTAGCTTGTTTTCTGACTTTCAGCAAGTTAACCCAAGTTTTGGAGTCTCCAAGATTTCTGCAAATAGTGTTTGAATGGCAGTCCTTGCAATACTTACCCATCATGAATTTAGCCCAAAGAGATTTCTGTTCACTAAATTTGATCCACATCTTGCACTGGTTGACTTGTAGTAAATGTTGTATTCCTTTAAAGCCAATTCCCCCAGCCATAGTTGGCTTGGTAGATTTCTGCTAGCTAGCCCAGTGAGTTGCTGCCTTTGGCCAAACCAAAGGAATCTATTAAAAATCCTTTCCAGCTGCAATTGGGTGCTTTTCTTCATACTAGTCATTTGGAGGATGTAGAAGGCAAAAGTTGTCAGTATGCTTTTCAATAATGTGATTCTACCTTCATTAGAAAGAAAACAATGAGTCCAACTAGAGAGAGCTGCAGATATCTTTGCCAAAACGTCCTCAAATTGTGTTTGTCTAGTCCTTTCTTTTAGAAGTTGGACACTAAGGTACTTGATTGGCAAGGTAGAGCTGTTGAAATGTGTATAATCTAGAATCTAATTTCCTTGCATAGTTGGCGTGTGCTGGTTGAAATAGATACTGCATTTGTCAGAGTTAAATGCTAAACTAGAATGGCCTTGGAAGATCTGTAAGCACTTCATGACTTTCCTCACAGCATTCTTGTTAGCACTAGAGAACACCATAAAGTAATCTGCATAAACTAAATGAGAAACAGGCACTTTAGATTTGTGGTGGTACCTGACATAGTTGAAGGGGAGGAGACTTCTATTCAGCATTCTAAATAAGTGATCAAGAGCCAATATAAAAACAGTTGGAGACAAGGGATCTCCATGTTTGAGTCCTCTAGATGCAGTGAAAGAATCCCAGGATTATCCATTGATTAGAAGAGAGTGAGAGTTATCTCTGAGCCATCTATGGATGAGGTTACAGAAATAAGCTTGAAAACCTCTAATAGTTAAGACTTCTATTGTAAACTCCCAACAAATAGTGACATAAGCTTTTTTAATATCCAATTTATAGATTAGGTCACCATTTCTATAGGGTCTGTCCAGGTCCAACATAAGTTCTTGAGCTAGGAGTACATTATCAGTGATAGATCTTCCTTGGACAAAGGCAGACTAGTTTTTAGAAACAATATGGCTGAGGTGGGGTTGAAGTCTGCCTACAATAATTTTGCTAATAAGTTTACTAATGACAGAAGTAAAAGCAATTGGCCTGAAAACATTCTAATTTTTCTGAATATTAGATTTGGGGATGAGCACAATGCTAGTGGCATTAAAGTAATAGGGGATAGATGAACCTTGAAAGAAACTTTGAAAAGCAGTGATAACTTCAGTTTTAATGATTTCCCAAGCTTTCTTATAGAAATCACTTATAAAACCATCAGGCCCAGCAGTTTTAGAGCTCTCAATACCTTGAAGAGCTTGCCAAATTTCATTCTCACTAGGAGGAGAAGTCGGATTTAGTTTAGAAATGTTATTGATCTGCTCAATAGAATAAAGATTTTCAATGGGAGATCTTTGAAGGTCTGGCTGAGTTAGAATTTGCTGGAAATGAGCAACAACATCAAAAGCAATGGAAGAGTTATCAGAAATCTAATTTCCATTAGAGCTCTGGATCTTATGAATTGTATTGCATTGTCTCCTATATTTTATGAATGCATGGTAAAACTTAGTGTTCCTGTCACCCTCTTTGAAGTGGCTAATAGAAGCTTTCTGCCTAATGAATTGCTCTTGTCTATCAAGGGCAAGAAGAAGATTATGGTGTGAAGCAAGTAAAAGTTTCTCCTCCCGACCATATGTCAGGGCTAAGTTCTCCAACTATAGTATATATACATACATACATATATATATA